GCTGTGTAGTGTTAGGTTAAGCGTTGTTGTCGCGTTGTGATGAAACTCCCCAATATTAATACTTGCTGTATATTGAAAACTGTTAATCTTACGCCCCTGTAATATACAACTTTTTTGTCCATTTATGATTACTCTATCTCATGCTGCAGTAATGGCAGTCAAACTGCTTACATCCTGTATATAAAATATTTTAATATAATTTCCAATAGAAGAACTAATATTATGAAAGAAGACAGTAAAAAATACTTATACGTAATGCTTCGCCCAAAGTTTATGTTTTGTTATATAATTATTTTTTTTTATATTTATAGAAACGAGTACAGAAACTTATTTTTTAATTTGCTGAAAAAAATGCTATTTATTCCACTTTTTCAAATTTTTCCTAAAATATCATTTTCCTTTTTGAAATCTCCCTTAATCCCTTCCCATTCCCAACAAAAAATAAGCCTTTCTTTTCTTATTTTATAGGTATTATCATTACTTTATACACATTTTAATAATAAAATTATTAGACATACACTACACCTTCATGGTGATTTATGGCGAATCACAAAATATGAAGTAGTTTTTGTTTTATAAAACTCATTCATTTGTTGGCCAAGTAAAAATTTTCAAGTCCACTTTTTAAAATCTAAAATTACAAAAAATAATTAGATGCTACTATTAATTATAAGCCCCGCGGCGACCCAGTCGCCATGTCTGTATACTGTAGTAAACCACCCCAGCTGACGTCATAATTTAGAATTACGGCCTTGTGTACAGGTGGTGTTGGTGGGCGCATTAACTTGTGGAGCGGACTGATAGTTCTGCCGTGCTAAGGCATAATGTTTAAATGCATAGCTTGTGAATAATTGTTTTTGTTTATGTTATAATGGACAAAATTATTTGAGATAAATTTTAGTAATTCTTAAAATCACAATCAATATCCTTTTTTGGTTTTTTGAATTATAACAGATACATATATTTCCTCTAATAATTTCATTGTCTTTTTATTTAATTTTATCACTTCAAAATGTTTCGATGAAATTTGGTATAGGGGGTTTTTGAAGTTGTTCAAGATTTATTACCTAAAATAGGTATAGGGGTCGCTATCTGAAATAGTATTTTGTATTTTTGTCATATTCTTTTGCTGCAGATATAAGAACAGGCATATGCTGCACTTTATTTGCTGTAATTGTCTGTATTATCTACGCCTCCGTTTCCTACTGGATTCTTGTTGAGCGATTTTTTTGAAGCCGCGGCTAGTGAGACTCCTGGGAAGGCCGGAGAACTCCCTANTGTGATTATTTGGATGACGTGAATCTTTGGGTACTTTAATTACATATTTTTCAAATTCATAATTTGATAAGTTCCTATTTTAAGAGACTCATGATTACTAAAATTCGAGCTAAAATTTAAGTACAACACTATTTTCGTACTACAAAATCGATAGGTACATTTTATTTTATGGAAAACAATTGTCTTGAAATTTACTAAATTTTTCACAATAAAAGTTTACATTTTTTCCGTAGGACAACTCTGCCGCCTGCACACGTGGTATACACCAGCTGTGTAGTGTTAGGTTAAGCGTTGTTGTCGCGTTGTGATGAAACTCCCCAATATTAATACTTGCTGTATATTGAAAACTGTTAATCTTACGCCCCTGTAATATACAACTTTTTTGTCCATTTATGATTACTCTATCTCATGCTGCAGTAATGGCAGTCAAACTGCTTACATCCTGTATATAAAATATTTTAATATAATTTCCAATAGAAGAACTAATATTATGAAAGAAGACAGTAAAAAATACTTATACGTAATGCTTCGCCCAAAGTTTATGTTTTGTTATATAATTATTTTTTTTTATATTTATAGAAACGAGTACAGAAACTTATTTTTTAATTTGCTGAAAAAAATGCTATTTATTCCACTTTTTCAAATTTTTCCTAAAATATCATTTTCCTTTTTGAAATCTCCCTTAATCCCTTCCCATTCCCAACAAAAAATAAGCCTTTCTTTTCTTATTTTATAGGTATTATCATTACTTTATACACATTTTAATAATAAAATTATTAGACATACACTACACCTTCATGGTGATTTATGGCGAATCACAAAATATGAAGTAGTTTTTGTTTTATAAAACTCATTCATTTGTTGGCCAAGTAAAAATTTTCAAGTCCACTTTTTAAAATCTAAAATTACAAAAAATAATTAGATGCTACTATTAATTATAAGCCCCGCGGCGACCCAGTCGCCATGTCTGTATACTGTAGTAAACCACCCCAGCTGACGTCATAATTTAGAATTACGGCCTTGTGTACAGGTGGTGTTGGTGGGCGCATTAACTTGTGGAGCGGACTGATAGTTCTGCCGTGCTAAGGCATAATGTTTAAATGCATAGCTTGTGAATAATTGTTTTTGTTTATGTTATAATGGACAAAATTATTTGAGATAAATTTTAGTAATTCTTAAAATCACAATCAATATCCTTTTTTGGTTTTTTGAATTATAACAGATACATATATTTCCTCTAATAATTTCATTGTCTTTTTATTTAATTTTATCACTTCAAAATGTTTCGATGAAATTTGGTATAGGGGGTTTTTGAAGTTGTTCAAGATTTATTACCTAAAATAGGTATAGGGGTCGCTATCTGAAATAGTATTTTGTATTTTTGTCATATTCTTTTGCTGCAGATATAAGAACAGGCATATGCTGCACTTTATTTGCTGTAATTGTCTGTATTATCTACGCCTCCGTTTCCTACTGGATTCTTGTTGAGCGATTTTTTTGAAGCCGCGGCTAGTGAGACTCCTGGGAAGGCCGGAGAACTCCCTACTGCTGTTTTTTTTTTTAAAATCACAGAAACTCTAAAATGGTTTAATACTAAAATAATAGTCTGATTTATGATTTTACCGTGGTCCGAGAGTCAGTAGTCGATTCGTATTTATGTATCTCTCACTATCTAAATTTTACTGACGACTGATGACAGCGATGTCGTCGTTTTTTCGCTGTCTGCGATGATTTTGTACTTATGTATTTTACATTAGATTTAATACGGTGACAGTATAATGCGAATTTTTTTTTTAAGGTTTAACTTAACATCTCTATTCGGACTCAATAGATGCAATGGTCTTAATTCTAAAAATGTTTCATAAAACTAATTTTAAATCTCTAACAACAAAAATAATATGGCAAGAAACTGCTTTAGATATTCCTAACGCTTTTTATGTAATAAAAAAATACACATGTTCTTCTTTGGTTATACCAGAAACCCCCCACAGCCTGTCATTCAAATATAGTAATTGGATTTTTCTGTTGAATGGTGTATCAAATATCTTCAAAAGTGATAGTTTAGTGAGTGACAGAAATTTTTTTAAACAATTGGTTTATTTTCATTTCCCAAAACTTCCCGTGAAGTATAACCCATTTTCTGTGTCCGGACATCCTGCGTAATCTTCTAAGCTAAGTCAATTTTCAATTGGACTAATTGTTTAATATTTGTTACCTTACCTCTTTTAGTAAATAAATCTGCTGTAGTAAAATTTTATTAGAAAAAAAAAATGGTCACAAATCATCCTTTCTTAACATTATAATATAACACTATCAGACAAAAACTGTTACACTAATGGAACATACTTTTTCCACTTGTATAGGTCTGTAATACACTCATCAACTGCAAACGCACCTCCAAATTCACATCATCTGGCAACTTTTTCATGAAGGGCAGTAGCGACAGGAGGAATTTCTTATTTCCCATGATATCGTCAGATTTGTCCTCTTTTTGCATCGCTACGATTTCTTCTAGTACTGTCGCTATTCGTTTGGTTGCAGTTGGACTGTCTTCTTCTTCCGTTGTGGAAATATTGGACATTTGAACAGACGGTCTTGGTTGTATCTGAACAAACTGAAGGGGTTGCACAGAGTTGTCTTGCGAGGAAGTTTGAAGAGGATTTTCTTCGGCAGATGAGGCATATTGGAAGGAATCGTTGTCTCTGTTTTCGTCCAAATAAATTACGTTATCCACTTTCCTGAAAAAAAGAATAATAATAATTCCATTAATAATATCTGCTTTGATGTCAAAGTCTCGCACATTTCCCACATTCGGCAAAGTAACTACGAAATGCCGTCGTCGTAACGGCGCCACATTTTGCTTTGCCAGATGTGTGTAATAACTGTTAGATGCTTGCCCTCCCTCCTCTGGTTTTTACACTCAACGTCCAACGGTGGTAATCAAATTAGAATTTAGAATTTATTTTCGTATTCTCTGTCATATAACTAAAATGTCTGGCCAAATTTTAACGATTTTACAAACACAAATTAACAAAAAAAAAAGTTTCTATAACTACTTCTTTTTTAAAATACTGGTTGACAAAATTTGAAAAAAATGGGCGTTTTTAAATTACCTAGAAAAAAAGTGATTTCATTTAAATTTAGCAAGCAATTTTAACTTTTGATTATTCAATATACATTTTTTTTACAAACAGAATAGTTTTGAAGGTGGACGAAGAAATTTTTACTTCCATTGAATTCTTGTGAGCTACTTCAAATTTGGTTTATTGTGGCAAATGACCAAAGATCTTACAAAATATTATTCTTGCTACTTTCGTTTTTGAGATAAATGACAACTGCCTCAGTAACAAAGACAAAAACAAGTTTCATGTTCGTTAGACTAGAGCCCCTTTTGACCATGTATTCCGAGTCGTTGAATACGAGTTTGATATCAGAATTGCGCCGTTAGGCCAGGATTTTTTCCTAACCTCAAAAAATAGGTCGAAATAGCAAAAACCGATGCTTAGTTCTGTTGAAAAGCTATGTAGCTCAAACATAACCCGCCGACTTCAAGAGAAACAACTGTGCGTGTTGCAAGTTAATGAAAATGGATACCTACTCAAGTACGTGGTATTCTGAATATATAGAATTTCAACCTAACCCTGAAAACTTGCGTGAAAGCATTTTATATATTTTATATGGAAATTGGAACATAAAATAAAACTAAAATGTTTTTTTAAACAGCTGAGTACAAATTTGACACACAGAATTGATCAATCGAACAATGTCTTTGTAATTATTGCTAGTGTCAAATCATCAAATCATTTTTAGATAAATATACTAGTTATTGAAATAACTCTGTTTTATGTTAATAAAATAAAGCACTATTTACTAAAGTTACGGTTGTGATTTGCAACTCGAAATGAACCAAATATTTTCATTAATTTTAAACCCGATATATTTCAAGAACTAAGCCTTACACATATCTATATAAACTTTTTTTTTATTAATTTATGACATAGAATCTGTTACTAGCGTTGAGCCAAGCATTTCATTTGCGTCCTGTAATATTGTATTAATTTTTAGTACATATTCCAATTTCGCTATTAGGACATAAAATTATTAAAATATTTATTTGAACATTAATTCTTTTTAATGTTTTCCTGATTTTTTTCAATTTTCTTCCTCGTCTGAGAGTACGTAACATAGTTGAAGGATAAATAACGCACACCACTACGGTATTACATATGATATTCCAAATGC